TTCCAGGTCTTCCAGGTCACACAGTCAGTCAGAGTTAAACATGTTTCCACTGAACTCACCTGTCAAACCTTAGAGGCTACTCTTACCCTAAAATCCTGTTTTTATTTTTATTTTTTCAGTTTTATACACAATTGTATTTGTTTTATACAGTTTTAGAGAGATAAGTGAACTTTGTGCTGAACTGAGACTGTTCGTCCAAAATGATCTTAAAGTTTAAATACTTTAATTTCTGTTTGGAGGAATAATTCAAACCAACAAGTTAAAGTGTAAACACTGACTGAGTCACTTATATATAAGTTATATTTATATTTATATATATTTATAGTTATATAAGTTATATATATATATATAAATTAAAGGATATATAAGGATATATATAAATATAAATAAAGAGCTTCCACATTGACTCCTGCAGCAGCACACTGACCGGAAGGTGCGTCCTCAGGTGAGAACACACCTCCTTCCTCCTTTTACCCCCTCCCTCTATAAACTCTGTGTGACTTCCTCTGAGCTCTGCGGCTCCGGTACACGGGTCCTGTCACAAACCATTTCACCGCACTCCCCGTTGATGGGATTACCGGGAGGGAAGAAAGAGAGAGAGAGAGAAAGAGAGCACGTTGCAGCGCGCCGTGCCAACCCAACACCTGATCCTGTTCCTCCCCGGTAGTCTGGGGATATAACGCCACCGGGTACTGTAGGGAGGGAGGGAGGGCGGACCCGGAGGATGTGACGTCCTGGCACCGGGGGGGAGAGAGAGAGGAGATTGTACCATATCCAGTAAGTGCTCCTCGTTAACGTTGATGTTTGGTGAGGATTATCCGGGCTGCAGGATGGACTGAGTGAACGCGAAGGGCGAAGACGCAGAGAGGACCCAGAGCCTTGACCCACCACCACCACCACCCTCCTCCTCCTCCCCTCCTCCATCAGTCAAACCATGGATCTAACTTTCATCCTGTCCGCTGCCATCTTCACTCTCCTCGCCATCGTGGTCGCCACCTCGCTGCTCAACGGATCCTCGCCCACGGCGGAGTTCGCCAACGCGTATTTTGGACACCGGGGAGGAGACGCGTCGGCACCGGGAGTAGATCCGCCGAGGCTGAACGGCCACGTACCGGACGGGAAGAGCAAGAACAACAAGAAGAGCAAGAAGGCGGAGGACGACTGGTGTGAGATGAGCGGGAGCACACACGACCACTGGGATGTGGTGAAATCTGTGCTTTCAGTAAGTCCCGCAAACAAACAGGTTTTACGCGCAGAGGATCCGCATGTTTGCGTTTCATTGCGTAACTCTGCTTTTTTTAATCTGTTTAAACTGTCTCCCTCCCCACACAGATACTGGGTTTACATGTGCAGGTGGAAGAAGGAGCTCAAATCCGTCACTGTAGCGGCTTTAATGAGAGAAAATTGACTCTTTAAAGGGGATAATTAGTGGATTATGAGCTGAATTAGCTGCAGTGTAATCGAGTATTTAAATAAATACAGGTGGTTATGTTGATTTTCTGTCACATTTAATGGAAAACCTGTTTGTAAACTAGTTGCAAGTGAAAATATGATAAATTTAGTGATTTATTTACCTTAAAATGTTGCTGAAGCAGAACTGGAAGAAGTATGCAAAGTAAAATATAAGTATAGTATAATACTGAAGTAAAAGTACTAATTTTTATTGTTATTTTATGACATATATTTATTATTACTAGTGTGTTAATGTGTATGCAGCATTTTAATGTTGCAGCTCGTCCAGATTAAGATAATTTAGTTTAATCTGTAATTATTTAATGTATTTTATTAGCTCATATTGTTTACTTTTGTAATAATCATTAAATAATTCATTCATTTTTATTAATTATTGAAGCAAAATTAACAGATTCCAGCTTCTCAAATGAAGTTATTGTTATTTTATGTCTTACTTTAGTATAATGGTTCATTTTTGGAGTTTTACCCTTTGGAAACAAGATATTTAAAGACGTCAAATGGAGCTCTGGGATGCTGATATGGACATTTATCACTATTCATTATATTTTTGTAGACAGAAGATTACTTAAATAATTAAGGAAATAAAATACTTGTTAGCTGTAGCCCAGTATACGTTTGCAAAGTAACAGTTAACTGTCAAATACATGTAGTAGCAAAGAAGCACAGCCCTTAAGTAGCTTAAATGAAGCTGCTTTCCACCTTCTAGTAGATGATCTCACTCACTTAGTCTGAGTCAGTGAGAACAACAATAATAATAAACAGGAAAAGCAACATGGCTTGGCTCTTATTTTGAAAGGGCCACTTCCAGTTATTTTAACTCAAAAAATCTAAAATTTAAGTAAAACAAACTCCTTTTTGTAAGTTACAGAAACATTCCTGATTAATGTTTTGTTTTCACAGTTCAATAAAAACTATAAAGTGTCACTACTTACTACTAATAATGTTTTTAACTTACAAAATTGAGTTTATTTAAATTTTTTTTTATCAGTTTCAACCCCTCCACACACGGCTCAGGTCTCCATGGCCTGTTTTTAGCCTCTTAAATGGCGTCACGTTGGAGTAAAACAGGAATCAAATCAGCACCCGAGGGAGCAAAGTATGAAACGATAACCTCGGCTTTCCCCCCTCAGTCACACCTTCGTCAAGCTCAGCATCCGAGGAGAGGTGAGAATACAGGTAACACGAGCAGATAAATTGATCTGTTTGGAGCTTCCCCCGAATATGAGTTTTCTAATCTGCCTGCAAGGACGCACACAGATGTTAAAATATACATTAAACTGGTAAAAAATGATGGTTTGATGCCCCTCAGCTGACCCCTTAATTCTCTGACAGGAGGAGGCACATCCTCATCCTCACATTGAAGAACTGGCAACCCCAGTTGAGCACTCCTCCTCCTCCACGTCCATGAGCTTAGAGGTAGACTCGCCGCCCGGGGCCTCGTCAGGGAGGGGCCGTAGGTCTTTCATCGGGCTCTCTGATAAGGAGCTCATAAAATGTGCTTTCTCTTACCCCCAGACTGAAGGAGCCACAGAGAGCCCGGGGATCAACGGTGAGCACTATTAGATATTTGAAATACATACACTAGGTACACTTGGTGTTGATTTCTAATCAGCGTTTACTCTGCTTGATCAGATAAAGTCGAATCAAATGACGGCGAGTGCTTGAAGTACATCCCCGGAAAGGCGCGATCCCACCACTTGCAAATGATGATGTCCACAGAGGAACTGCAGGAGGAGCAGAGGTCAGTGAAAACTACAAATATGGCGCCACCTTCTTCACAAAGCACCATTTATAAAGAGTTTATAAGCCATTAATGGGAATAATTCATGAGGAGAAACCTCATATGATACTGTACATTTACTATAACAGTCCACTTAAAGGACCAGTGTGCAGGATTTAGTGGCTTCTAGTGGTGTAGTTACAGATTGCAACTCACTTGCTTTACCTTCCCTTTCCAAGCACGAGGGAGAAACTGTAGTAGCTGTAAAATGCACAAAACAGCGTGTTTGGTTTGTCCCTTCTAGGCTACTGTAGAAACATGGTGGTTCAACATGGTGGACTCCGCCACGGAAGACAACCCGCAGCGTCTGTAGATAAAAACAGCTCATTATAACTTAACAAAAACAAAATAGTTCCTATTTTCAGGTGATTATACACAAATCAAAACATACCTATGAATATTATATTTATATTATATTCCACTCATATATAATTCTTCCTTGGGGGAAACCCATCTAATAGTTTAAAGGTCCATTTAAGGGTCCTTCCTGAGGAATTAAAGAGCTAAAAAGAAATGCTGGAGGAGGATTTTCCACAACCTGGCAACCCAAAAGTTGCCTGATTTAACTAAAATGACACTCGGAGAGCACAGACCTCAATCTCAATCTTCAATAATATGCAATCTGCAATCAGAACCACTCCTTGTGTCCGATTATAATTGATCTATCTCATGATTTTAATAATAGAGAACAATAATTGGTGTATCTGCCTCATGATGTCTGATCTACTATAAAAAAAACTTCCCTGGTGGTTGGTAATAATAAAAGATGCTAATTACAGCTTTATAAAGTCAGCCATCTCCCTCTGTTCTTCCAAAAACAGAATAAAAATACTTCCTTAAACAAACGTTTTACAGAAAATCAAAATGTTTTCATTAATTCCAACAACAATTAAATGAAGTTTCCACGTAGCTGCTCTGCCTTCTGTCCTCTTCCCTCTAATCTCCCTCTACGTCTTCACGTGTGTTTGTGTGTCGTCTGCGTTTCCCCTCGGAGCCTCCCACGTTTAGCTGCTGTATCACCCGTCCTCTTCAGGTCAGACTGAGTAAAGGAGAGATTGAGTCTCTGCCAGGCATTAGCTGAAGGATGAATGACACGAGACTTTTCAGAAACCACTCGAAGCGTCTCGGTGGCTGCTGCTGTAACGTCTCCCCCTACCACTGCTCTTATCTTTACAGGATACACTCCAACGCAGACTTTAACTGTCTGTAAGCCTGAAAGAAAGGAGCATATATGTGGTAAAGTATAAGTTATTCTCACCCCCCCGATTTATCTCAAGGGAGTCACTTTCTGGCCATTGTGTGATTCAGTTTTGGCCTCATCAGCAGAGGTGGAAAGTAACTAAGTACAAATACTTCCTTTACTGTCCTTTTAGTGTTTTTCTAGGTACTTTTTTACCTCTTTGCATTTTTAGAACAGGCTTTAGTTTTAATGCATTTGAGGGGATTAACATCTTATAACAGAGAACAGGAAGGTGACTCGACCATATTTAAAGTTTCAGGTACAAATGTCCTTCAGGGAAACCAAGAGAGTACTTTTTTTTTGGGTACTTTTTGCCACCTCTGCTAATACTCTTTATCTTCAAGTGGCCATGAAGCGACTGATCTAACTGTGCAGTGTTTGCTTACCTGATCCCACACACACCCCATCCATCCACCACCCTCTGTCCCCATTATTCCACATAGATGTGTGATTCTCAGGTGTCACAGCAGGTGTTGATGGTCGTCACCTCTGAAAGGAGAGTGTTAGTTAATCCTCTGAGGTTTC